AGAAGATCGACAACGGTAATCGATCTTGGTAAAGAAACGCGTAATAGCTATAGTTAATAGAAAGCTCAATTAAATTTTGAAGTTATTAAATAAAGAAAACATCTTAACATACATTACCAAAACTCTTGCTCTCCTAAAAACTGCCGTTTATAGGAAAATCCTTCCTTTTTAATAGAAACACAAAATCCTCGTAACAGTACATCAATATTGAAATCGAGTAAATGGCGATATCGGAAAACTTATTCGAGTTTATCCGAAAACATTTCTTTGTGATACGTGTCGATATGCGTACATAACAATAAGTAGCCTATCTTCCGGTTTTATTCTTGCCATGCAAGTCTACATATGTTTAGATGAAATATACGTACGTATGTTTAAGACACCTCATGCTTTCTATTACTGTATTATCAAAAAACGATATATAAATCCTAGAGTAAACTTCTCGAAAGCAGAAAAAAATTTTATTTATTCCTATTGAAAATTATTTTCAATTTTCGTACAAAAGAAAAAACGGCGGCAATTATCTTGTGTTTTTGTTTTTTATTTTTAGTGCCTTTTTTAAAACTAAACTCCTAAAAAACAACCATTGTTTTCCTTCGATGGAATATCACCCAACGGTCCAACACTGGCGTAAGAGAGTAACTGATGACATGGTAATGCTTTATCCAGAGTATTCCATTAATTTCGTGACAGACGAGGACCTGAAATTAATGCAGGAAATAGTGTGCGCGGGGACAGCTAAACTGGAAGAGCTGGGAGTGGTGATCAGCAAATTTTTGAAGCAGTGTAAAGAGAGTAAAAATTACAAGACGTTTAAGACGGTGCAAAAGGAATTTCATGCCAAATTATTAAACACTGCTTCGGTATCGACTGAATAAAATCTTCTGACTCCGAAAGTATGATTTGACATTGAACTAGTAATAATCAAATTTGAAGTTATCAGAATGATCTTCAGTGTTAATTTATCGTTATCATTAAAATTGAATTTTGCTTTACACGTTTGAATTCTATATCCTACATGATATACATACCCTTAATAAATTACTGGAAATCCAAAAAATTTCTATAATGACAATTTTGAAATTACGTAAATTTAAAACATATGTATGTATATGATTTCTAGCTTTATTTGGATATAAAAATAAAAAATATTTACTAATAAATTTTTTTTGAAGTTCCGGTAATTATTGTAGGGTGTATTTGGCAATAACATATATCGATATCGTTGTTTAATTAATCACTAATAAACTCAAAGATGGCATCTAACAAATGATAATAACGATAATATACATGTAATTGCTATTCTTATCGTTATATCTTCATAGCACTTCAGTTTATATTAACATATTACGCCAACATGCATTTGCTATATTAAAAAGAGTATTTATTATTTATACAACAATAGAAATTATAAGAGCCTTCTTTTTTATGAGTTCTGTCTCTTATCGTTTTAATGTTAATGCATGTTGTTGGCGTACGTAGTATTCCATTTTTCATAAATCGATACAAACACAAACGGAAGTGAACGACGACTTTCAAACATATCGTTTTTTAAATACATGTAAAACATTGCTACAATCACTAATAAACTCAAAGATGGCATCTAAAACTTCGAATACTCATGATTGTAATGAATGCTGGGATTGTCAAAAATGGGGTTACGAGTGAGATCATAAAAAAATAGAGTCAAACATTGGGAAGAATACAAAGTGGTGTTGAAATCATTACATCATTCAAAGCAAATTACATCTGAGTTTATAAACGAGGTAAAATAAACACATTTAAGTGTAAGCATATTGCTTTTTTGTTTTTCAATCTAATTAATTCACTTTTCAATATTAGTTTCAGACTGCTCTAAAATGCACCTACAATTTAATTATTATGGAATAACTACATAAAAACCCCAGCTACAAATGAATACTCGATAGTAATGGATTATGTAGAAGATGGCGATCTACGCAAATACATGTCACTTGAATTGGGAAGAAAAATTAGCGTTAGATCACTTAGACTTGATTAGTTTAGGGTTGAAGATGATTCACAATGAGGAATTTGTGCATCGTGACTTTCACCCTGGAATATATGACGTATTATTCGATAACATTCCTCAAATTTCTGATTTTGGACTTGCAAAGCCAGCATATATAGAAAATTCTGATCGAAAATTTATGGGGTTCTTCCTTATATGAGTCCATATGTACTAAATGGAAAGCCATACACTAAAGTTGCAGATATTTATAGTTTTGGATTGATGACGTACGCTGTTGTCACAGGTATACGACCATTTGGTGAGCGGAGTCATAATATAGATATCGTATGCGACATCTATAATGTAATACGACTTACGATACCAAATATATATAATGTTCCTGGATGGTGCAAATCTTTCAACGGATATAATATAGAATCGAATACTTTACATTTTCAGTACTATAGCTCTCTAGAATATCTTAAGACAAATGAAGAAATTATCGAGTGTCTCAAGCTAGAGAAGCAGAAATTATACGTACTTGATGAGGTGGAATTAAAAAAGAGCATTTCTACAAATACGAACGAAAACCAAATCCACTCCAATGCCGTCTAAACTAATCGAGTCTTTACCACAAACTAATTTCAATTCCAACTGAGACAGGTACTTTCTATTCTAAATATAATTCATATCGAATGTTTAGGGTTGACAAGTGTCACTTTGTTTGTTCCAAACGAAGGTAAATTACATTTAATATTGACTTAATTACAGTAGTATCCGAACGCCCCTAACTTTTTATAGATCATGCGTATCATCCTAAAAATTCCTGAAAACAAAGAATAACATAAATGCTGATCATCTACTCCTTT